AAATGCCCGTATAAAATTATGTGATTATATAGAGTTTGTGATTATATAGGAGGTGATTGTATGGGAGGACGACTGTATTTTATTTTAGTTAATATATAATTTATTAAATAACAGAGATTTGAATATTGAACTTAGATGTATAATTTTTACTAGTAACTTAATATTAGTTCAGTATTAGCTTAGTAATATTTATTAGTATCTTTTTTTTTTTATATTCAAGGTGAGGTCATGCCTTTGGCTTTTATTATTAATACTTAACTATTACAATTATGTTGCAGTATTACATATTAATTTATATAATATGAGATAAATTACAGAAACTTAGATAATTATCTACAGTCTATATCTACTAATGTTTCCCATATTCTGCATTTAATTAATCTAGATTTTGCTTTCTAATTAGCTATTTTCAGTAATTATTATATTTTCTTCATGTCTTACTATACCTAGTTATAACTTCCAATTTAGTTCTGTTAGGTTATTTTGTTCTTTATAAGCTTTCAATTTGGTATGTCTATAAATACTAATAATATATCAAAGATGTAGATGGTCTTTATACAGTCTGTATCTTAAGTTAGAAACTTGCTGCTTAATTAGATTTGTTATATGAAAAATTGGTATTTCATTATTAGCAAGCTTTTTACTTATTCTTTCAGATACTATTAATCTGTATTTCAAACCAAGTTTCTGCTATTGCTACTGATTTGCATCACTTCAGGTCTTAATAATCTTTTTTTAAATATAGTACTACTAACTAATCTGTTTGTACTCCTTATATAATGTATTATCAAAACTATATTTCATAGATTATCTTAATAATCTATCTTGTTAAAAACTAGCCTAACATCACAAAATTCTTTAAGTAACAGATACTCTACTTCCAACTGTAAGCCTTGTATTATATTACTAAAAAGAAGATCCTCAATTTACTCTTAACTTCTAGCTTAGATCTAGTTTATTGGCTAGTATTGCATTTATATTAATATATTCTGGCTTCTTTTATTATAGACTTCCTTATAAATATGATCAAAACTTTCTAACTTAGCACATACTAAATTAAGCTAGTTTTTTCATCTATATAACTTCTTTATTTAGTTAACTGTTTCACAGTGCCAGAGGTGCTTTTAATTTAGATAAGAATCACAGCTCTTTCACATGTTTGCCTCTTCTCTTATCATTCTAGTTTTAGTAGTATTATATTACTCTTTCAATCAAGTACCCAACACCTTTTTTAATTAGGACTAATTCACACAATCTATTAATTATCCTTCTAAGCAAGTGTCTACAAGTTGAGTGTAGTAATATTAGTACTGCCTACTCAGAGATGAAGAGATGTTAGTACTGCCTTTATGTCACCCCAATCAGAAGACTAATTATACAATCTTTCACAATCTAGACCTTTTGTGATACTGTTATTATACATGATGTCTGTACTCTATGATTAAGACTACTTCTAGAAATTTTTATTCCAAAATCATATTTGTATTTGGACTTTCTACAGAGCTTCATATTCAATTATGGCTCTATTATAGATTATAGTAACAAATTTAAAAATTTGCACCAGTTTGACTTAAATCATTGATCTTGTCTGTGGGAATTTGGAAGCTTAACTATTAAGCTATAGGATCCAAACTTCTATTTATTAGTATTGTAAAAAATTCTATTTAGATTTTTTATATTGTTACAAGTAGACTGTAGCCTTCTTAATATAGCACATATCTTTTTCAAAAATTTACCCAATTTAAAATTAACCCCAAAAACATTTATTTACTTAAGAAACAAATATTATCAAAATTTTGCAATATAAATCTTTAAAGCTTGTATTTTCTTATAATTTATTATAAAATTTATAATATAAAAAATTGGCTTTTTTTCTTAGCACCAAGCCCATATTATCTTAACCAACTTTTATTATGATACTAATGCTGATTCTCGCAAATCACCTTTAAACTATTTCATATAACATAAAGTTATTACTATTTCCGGCTGAAGTTTCAAAATTATGCCTAATAGAAACATAGCCAGAAAAAAATCAATCAGTTATGCGACAATTTTGTGCACTGATAAGACTCATGAAGATTCATTGAATAGCTATGAAGGACTTCGGGAATGACGACTTTTCCGAAAACGTTATGCAGCGATGTTTATAGTTTTTTTTTTTCTTTTTTTTTACATCGGAAACGATATACAACGACGTTTTTATTATTTATGTAAAATAAAACAACATAATGTAAAATACGAACACGGCAGCTGGAGTTTCCGGATTAAAGTTTATAGTTCAAAATTTTGAAATATTATCGTTGTTGGCAGATTTAATTTTTGATATAATAGTCAACTAAGCCGGCTTAGCCGGATCGAATTATCGACTCAGCTAAAGCTTATAAAATTTGTCGACTACAATCACTAGTCACCTTTCAATTTCCTAAAGCAAACATCTCAAACACGTGATCAGCAAAAGAATCAACAAGGAAAAAAAAAAAAACAAAAAAAACTCAAAACAAATTAAATTCATTCATCTCTTCACAGAATTAATATCCTGTAGTACTTGGCTGTGCGTAGTCCCATGTGGTCACAGGGGCCTGTGCGGGAGTAGTAGGCGTAGTTGCAGTTTGTTGAGGATACTGATAAGGGTACTGATATGATGCCTTAAAAGCAGATTAAATTTTAGATTCGATTATTAAATATGAACAATATGAACGTTTGAAAATTAATTGGTACCAACCGGCTGAGCAGCATTAGCGGTGGGGTAAACAGAATATCCTGATGCACTCCATTGGCCTTGAGAATAATACGGTGGCTGCACACCGGCAGTCGTAGTATACGGAGCCACTGGAATTACAGGTGTTCCTGCAGCAGCATCAACAACGCCATCTATTCTGACCTGCTTTGAAAGTTTTTCTGGCTCTTCATCAGCACCACGTTTTTTAGTGTCCAAAACCGGACGTACAGTGATGGGGCCATTAGCTTCAACATCGATCTTATTGTATACAGCTATAGTTGAACCACGTTCCATAAGAAAATCAAGATATCGATGTGAAAAATCCCTTATCGTTTCCGGTAAAAGCGTAGATGTATTACGAATCAGATCATAAACTGCTTTCAAGTTAGCTTCTACTGTGGAGCCTGCAATGTTACAAGTCACTATGAGAATCTGATACAAAATATAAAACGACGATAATCGATACTAACCGATTTGAGATAATTCGAAATTAAAATAGTTCAACCAAAAATATTTGCTATCAAGATATTTAGTTGAATTTTCTTGATAAATCTGACGTGCTTCTTCTATTGAACCTTTATTCTTTAATATATATCCAAAGCTAGGATAAGCTTAATCAATTATTGTTAATTTCTGAACATCAAAAATTCAATTATACTTACACGCCATAGCATATTAGCATGTTGTACTATAATGAAAGCTTTAGATTTTTCATCGATATTATTTCCCTGGAGCGAAGATGTTAGAATGTTAATGGGAACCGACAAATCATCAAGATGTCGACGTCTTTCAAAATGTGCGTATTTCATTATTGCCTCAACATGGCCCGGCACTTAAGAGGTATTTAAAAGAAGAGTTTTAATATTGTATATTTCAATTATAGAAGGAAAAAAATCCAAATCCCTACAAGCATCCAAGACCATTTTATATATAGCCCTGGATTCGTCAATATTCCCCTGTTGCTCTTCAAAGCAAGCAAATGACAAGCGAATACTTGGGCGACTAGGAGTAATAAATCGTATTAGACATAAGCTTAGAATACAAGATTATCGTCGTAGATAAAATTACTACAGTCACAATAATTTATATGCTAACCTGATTGGAATGAACACGGAAGTAGCCCTTACATATATATTACGTGCATCATCAAGCCTATTTTTAGATATCATCCAACGAGCATATCTTTGCCAAAATTCTTCATATAAAGCCTGTTCCATAATTATTATTATTATTATTATTTTTAGTTTAATAAAAATATACAAATATAATTTATCGAAGGTCATTTACTTACACAAGCTACGAGACATCTCTCATATAACACTTGAATGCGAGTATCATCTCCCTCACTTTCCTCAAAGTCAAGGTATCTTCTCCAATTAATTAACTGAACATCATCCATAGCTTTTACATGAAAGTAAGGTCTCTTAATCTTAGTGGTGGATATTGGGAAAATTAATTTAAATGCAAGAATATATAGGATTGCTGAATATTCTTGAAAATAGATTTACCTCCTGCTCAAAAACCCAACGTTTATTGGTTTCATTTTGCGTCTTCATATATGTCTCAATATTCATATTGTAAATCCGTGTTCTTATATCATTTTGAATCTGTTCTTCTGTCTAGATAAAATCAAATAAGTGAAATTAGTATTACGTTATCTAACATGTAGCAGTTTAAAATTAGCTAGTAACATAGAACTGCACTTTTTCTGTAGGAGGAGGGGGTTGCTCACCCTCCGTCCCTTCAGGTGGAACGGGAGGAGCAGTTCGCGCTTCCTCCTCAAATTGTCGATATTGTTCTGGTGTGATGAGTTCAGCTATTGGCCGCGTTCCACACAAATTTGTAAATCTAAATTATATTCAATAAGTAAATATTAGGTAACGTCAAAGGATAATTTTAATAAAGAATAATATACAAATAAAACATACTCATCGAAGAACCTAGCATATTGGTGCATTGGAATGCGTATAATTCTGTCCAAGATTTTTAGAACCCGATCATATGCCTGCTTTGATTTCTCAAACTCTATATATTTGTCCCAAAACAAATGGGAAAGAAAGTCAAGGCCAACATATGCAGCACCGCGTTCAAATAACCTGATAAAAATAAGCAATTATATGGTTAGATGTCGACAGAAGATATTTGAATATAATTAAATGAAAACAAAGCTTTGCTAAAAACGAAGACAGCAGTAAAAACTCAAAAAGCTATAACTTAGATTACAATTGACCCGAGCCCTGAAATGATTACGAAATAGGGAGGGCATGGGTCGCACTCTCCGTCGGATACCCTCTGAATCATCATCACCTGGTACAGTCTATCTCCTCAGGGATTCTTTAATCAACTTAATCATTCTTTTGCTGTACTTGACAAGTAAAAACGATTTATAACAAATACAAAACAAATAACCAGAAAACAACAAAGTACAATCACTTCGTCTTTACTGCCATTCTGTTCGGACTGTAATCTGAGACAACTCTGTCTTACTTTTGAAGCATAAGAAATAGTGTATAGAATAACAAACCAAATCGAATACGAAATGGCAAAAACAATACGAAAAGACAGAAAAACGATTTATTAACAGAAATTAGCAATGAACCTACCCTCGAATGGCCTCCACATCGTCCGGATAGTGTTCAATTTTAAATGCGCAATATTGCGTCCAAAGATCAACAGAATTCGCTATGGCAGCTACACCACGTTCATAGATCTATGGGAGTGATTAAATTCATAAATTTAAAAAAAGGTATGTTCATGTAGGAATGAATGAATGAACTAACGAACTAACGAACGAAAGTATACTTTTTCAGCCTCTGTTGGCCCCTGAACGCTAAATTCGAAATCAGCGTATTTCTTCCAATAACCAAAACATAAAGGGAATTTTGCTAAGAATTGATCAAAAACGTCACGCATATTTGTTATATTTTCTGGAGGTGATTGTGCTGTGAGGCCGCCTTCCGCAGTTTCAGCAACGCGAATCAAATATTCCCATGATGTGAAATCCTGCAGTATGCAACAAATATATCAATCGACAATATAAAAGAGACTGGAACGCGTAATAAAGTAATTATAATTTATTACATCAGGATTAGACCTGACAATATCCCAGTAACGTTCTAGATCGGATTGTTGTGGCAGAGATTCAGAATTCGTGCCTTCTTCGATTTGTGCTTGTTCAGCAACACCGTTTGTTTGTGCTTAATTTAGAAAGAAAGAACTAATTCATCAGAGACACAATAAAGATTTATTTTGATTGCTAGACCTTTGCACTAGGCTTCGATCGCCAGGCATCAGTTCTCAATTACGCTCACAAAATACTTACAGAGTGCAGGATCAGTTGGATCAACAGCATACTGTGTGTACTGCGCAGTAGTCGCTTGATCTTCGTAGGTCGTCATTTCTTTTTTTGTTTTTTTTTTTTGAAACTACTTTAGGGACAAACGTAAATTTTTCTTAAGACCACGCGATCAGGTGATTAATCAAAATTACACAAGAACCTTTCTATATATCGATATTGGTTTTCCATTGTGTAACTTTTATATATAGTCCTGGCTCTAACGAAAATAATGGCGAAGGAGACTTACGTACATATGTAGATGTATAGAATGTTAGACGAATTTCATTGATATGTTTATTAATGTCAAAACCAGTCTTGAAAATTTTAATTTATTTAAAATTCGCCGGAAATGAAATTAAATTATCCTTCAAGGTTAGCGTTAAAATCGTATATATCGATATGTAAAAAACCAAAGAAAAAAAAATCATAACAAGGTATAAGGTGAGTATTATGACGAATGTGAGTAAAAATAGCGAATTGAACATATTACAAGGAAACGAGATTTTTTTTTTTACCCTCAAATTTTGGCGCAATATGAATAACTTTTTATTAATGACTTTTTTGGTTATACGCTTTGACGCAGAAATTAATTTTTTGCAACAAAACGTACAACGAAAAATAAAAAAGTTATCCATATTGCGTCAAAATTTGGGGTTAGGTAAAAGATAGTCTTTTGAACAGCTTCGCCTAGTGGAAGAAATTCGATTTGCTAAACAACCGATTTTTAATTAAAGAAAATCGCCGAGTATTAACAATATGATCGTCGATTTACATTCGCCACTTTACCCTCACAAAATTAAAACGTAGCCCTCCAAGTAGCTTTTTTTTCATATCATGATTGTAAAACAAATTAAAAATCCAGCTTTTATCAGATTTTTATTAATAAGAAGTGTTAACTTCGCCATAATACCCACACGTACAATCAACTCTCGATAACGATAAGCTGATTTGATTAAAAAATGCCAGTATATGATTGGCTAAAAATCAATCAAGTAATTTTTAACCAATCATATACTGACATTTTTCCAGATTCCATGAAATTTGTGAAAAGCACGATAAGGCCAAAGTTGATTCTTTGTTTAACATAAAAAAAGTATTTCATAAAAGAGGGGGGAGGAAGGTATTAAACAACACCAAAAATCCAAAAATACTGTAATTCTATTGGCTGTAAAAAAAACTAAAAATTCAAAAGGCTAATACTGCAATTTGATTGGTTAATGTGGTGTTGATTTTTTATGTAAATTTTTAAAAAATAGAGGGGGGTTATGTTAAACATAAAATCAATTTGGAGTGGCCTAATGTTCATACCGATACCTTAACAAATTAATGTTAGCCAGGATTACGAGACCGGGGTTAGTGATGTTAAATTGCCGGTCCAGTCCGGTCCGGTCCTGGGACCTGAAACGACGGTCCTGAACTTGATACAAAAACTGATAGTTGATCGATCCCAGGACCGGGTCCTGAATTACAATCCTTGATATACGTCCATCCAATCAAATTAGTACTTTATCATTAGCATTAGATTATACTTTATCATTAGATTATCATTAAACATAAAAATTTACCATTGCGATCAATATTTATTCGCGAAAGAAGTTATTTATACAAAAATAAATTTATATAAAACAAAATTTTATATAAGACAAAATTTATATAAAGAAATTTTTTTTATATATAAAAAATTTTTTTTTATATAAAAAAAAATTTTTATATAAAATAAAACAAAAAGAAAAAAAAAATTTAAGCACTGATATTACTTGTCTCTTCATTTAACTTATCACTCAGTTCTTTATACCAGCTTTTTAGGCACAAAAACGCGCGGGCTACTTCAGAACTTATACGATTTCGTGTAGAACTAATCGTGTGCTTGGCAATTAAGAAAGCTTGCTTACTTGGCACGCTAGTTGCTTGCACAGTAAGAAAGTCCTTTGCAAGACAGGAGAGAGTCGGAAACTGATCAGAATTTGCTTTCCACCAAAGAAGCGGTTCTACTTCAGTTTCAATCTCATTCAAATACTTGTCAATTTCACATTGATTCAAGTTAACCTGGCGGCTATGGGTAAGATTACGAAAGAGTTTGCGTGTTGCTTTAGTAGTAGTAGTAGTAAGAGGTGGGTGTGGTTTATTTTCTTGAGTTGGTTTATACTTTTCATGCATTTCATAAAGTTTATTAATAGCTTGTTTACGTTCATAAATGTCGAAGGTCAAAAGTTTATTGCATGGATCAAGAAGGCCCGAAATTGTTGATTATTCATTTAGGTGAGCCCAATATGATGTAAATTTTGCTTTCATTGTACTAGCTACGGCATGTTGTGAATTAATTTCTAGATTTTCATTATTATTTAGGTATATAATAAGGCCACGAAATATCATGCACAAGTCACCTTGGGTAGGAAATGTGGACGAAGACAAACTCTTTTTGCTAATTATCAAAACACAAATTTTTGAAAACTAAATTTAATAAAAATTTATAAAAAATATACAAAGGTTATTAAGAAACTAAACTTGGAGTCTTAAGTAAAGAAGAAGAGAACAACAAAAAATATTTAGTCTCTTAAGAGACTTGAGTAATAAGAGCAGTAATGGCAAAAAAATAGAAGAAGTTGTGAAAAATCGATAATATTTTTTTTGCACTTTGCGAATTTTTGGAGAATTGGCCTGATCTTGAATAGCAGATCTGTTTTGGTAATACAAAATTCACAACACATAATAAAAAGTAAACAAAAGCAATATGCTAAAAACCATGTGACAAAAGTAAACAATGAGGTAAACAATACACCAAACAATAACAACAAACAACAACAAAAGAAAAATAACAAGTCACATGAAGCAAAAGTCAGCAGAATGTTCTGAAAAAAGATCTGTCACAAAAGAAAAAACAGATTTAAAACTTAAAGCAGTATTAAAAGATATCCAAGACTTGTTAGTAGCAATAACTAACAAAATGATAGATATGACAATAAAGGAAATAATGGCAAAATATACAGGACAAGAATCTATTCCAAAAAAAATAGCTGAAGTGCAAATAGAAAGGCTCTATAAAAAATTATAGCAGTATAACAGAGGAGAATTAGAATATACAGAACTTGCACTTATAGAAAGAGAACACAAGATTTTCTATAAAGCAATATAAAAGAAAGAAGATTCAATTAATTGCATTATAAAAGAAGAAATAGTTAGTTACATAGTAAAACTAAGAATAGCTAACGAAGTAAGAAGAGTACTAAAAGATAGAAAAAAACAAGATGCTGAAATAAAGTTGAAACTAGAATTAGATTGAAGCAAGAGATTTTAAAAACAAAAGAAAAATCGACAAAAACAGCACAATAAAACAGCTCTGAAGTTGATAGTACAACAATTCAAAGAATCTGTCAAGACTACTATAATAAACTAGCAAGAGATAAAAGAAAAAATTAAAGAAGAAAAGAGAAAGATGCAAGTCCAACAAAAGAGAGATCAAGTTGCTAAAAACATAGCCAAGAAACAAGCCTAGTAAAAAAAAAACAAGCTGCTAAAATAAAAATAAAATTAAACCTAGACTGAAGCAAGAGACTTCAAGAATAAAGAAAAACTCACCAAAGACAGCATAACAAAATGGCACTAAAGTTTCTAATAATATAGTTTACAGTATCTGTCAAATCTGCTGTAGCAAGATATAAAAGAGGAAAAAAAGAAATTAGAGAAAAAAAGAAGAAGAGAAACAAAAGACAAAATATTTCAGATTTGACAGAAGTGAAATTGCTAAACAAGTTTCAAGAAGAAACAAGACCAGAAATTGTATTACCAACTCTAGTAGAATAGTTAATAGAGGTAATATATTTAGCAAGTATTAAAGACTCACAGCTCAATAATAAAATGTAGAAAAAGAAGAAGAAAGATTTGTTTACAAAATAGATATATAGTTTAAAGACTCAATGAAATCTAAATCCATCTCAAGAAATATTAGCACCCAGTTTGAAGAAAACTAAAAATTGGAAAAAAAAGAAAAAGGTCATATTACTAAAGATAGTAGAAAGGATTTTTATAGAACATTTCAGAAGACCAGAAATTTTTATTGAAATACAAGAAAGGTTTTTGGAAAGGAAACAAAACCCTAGAAAAAAAAGAAAAAAAAGAAGACAAAGAGAAGGAAAGAAAAAGAAGACTTTCATACCCATATCACAGAACAAAGAAAATCTGAGCAGACCAATCAAGACTCAAAAACGAAAGGACCAGAAAAAAACACAAGGTATTTAGAAAAAGAAAGAGTTAATAGAAGAATACTTCTAGAAAAACCTCATAAAACAGGCTTTCAGAAAGGAAAAAAAAATATAAAACAGTGAATCAAAAAGGAAGAACCAAAGAAGATAATATGAGAAAACTTCCAAAAGCCAGACCAGAAAGAACAGATTAAACTGGAAAAGGAGAAAAAGAAAATGTAATCACAAATGAAAGAATACTATAGTAAAATTAGCAGAAAACTGGAATATAGTTGTAAAAAGGAGAATAGTTTAGAAAGAGTAATTTGCTAGGTAAATGTAGTAAAAAATTCTTTTGATTCAAAATCATCTTGTTATAGTTTCACTGGCTAGCTTGATGCAGCCTTCCAGTACGAGCAATAGCCTTAACTGATGCAATAGATCGATTTACTTATTTACGTTAGTGATACAAACCAAAAAAGAAAAAAAAACAAAAAATATCCTTTTTTATTGGCACAAATAATGTATGAGAGTCATGATGTTAGAGTTAGTAGTAAAGGTAATATATACTAAAATTTTGCAAAAAATTTTTTTTATTAGAACGTTAAAGGTGATTTCTTAGACAGAATTTTAAACTACTGGCTATTTTTCAAAAAAGCTTTTGTTTTAATATTATATCAACTATTGCATCTGATCTTGCAATTTACATAAGAAAATTTCCTTATTTAGTTTGTATCACTGGTGCAAATAAGAATACGCATAGTAGACTGCATTTG